CAGCCCAGCCTGGATACAAGAAGCCCTATGGCCACAGGGAGGGGAGGGGACCTCAAAAACTCACCGGGGGCCCAGGTTCACCGGCAGGTCCATCTTCACCAGGAGGTCCGGGTGGGCTCAAGAAAACATCAGCTCCTGGCGTCCCAGGAGTCCCAGGAGAGCCGGGTGGGCCCGGTGGGCCTGGGGGACCCTGTGAGAAGTGGTGAGGGGATGAATAGGGGTACAGCTAGACTAGGCATCCGTGTTCTCAGCACATGGGAAGCAGCACTCAGCTCAAAGGAAGGCCTGGAGGTGAATGAGGTGGGGAGCCTGGGGCCGAGGCACCAGATACAGCTGGAGAAGGAGGAGCCCTTGAGGGGGTATTCCGAGAGGGGCAGGGGCCAGGGAGGCCAGAAGTACCCATGAGAAAAGGAGGCAGGGAGAAAAAAGAGTGGCTGGTGACTTTGAACCACCAACCTAGCAGTTAGCAGCCCCAAACTGAAGCCAGGGTGCCAACGGGGGTCTTTGAGCTATCATACTCACTCTTAATAGGTCCTCCCTGTGCACCAGGTCACCAGAGCCAGAGCCGAAGTCCAAGCCAGAGCTCCCGGCCAGCCCAGAGCCCTCGAGTTCCACGCCCACCTGGAGGAATAAAACATGCCCCACAGCTTGGTTCTGGTTGCCACTCTTCCAGGGACAGCTCTGCTCACGGTCTCTCCTGGGCAATGGAGCGCTGTGACACTCTCCGATGGAGCTCTGTGACACTCTCCGCCTTGTCTCCAGCTCCTCTCTCCAGCCAGTGCTCTCCTGCCCACACCCTTGCCTCCTTTCCTGTCTTTCAAAAACCCGACCCATCCTCCAGGCCCAGTGCAAGGGCCGCTTCCTCCACCCAGTGCCCCAATTCCAGGTGGCCTTCCTCCTCCTCCTTGGGGTCTCCACGGGCCCCTACGGAATCTGATGCCGTGGCCACAGGACGTGTCAGTCCCTCTAGACTGGGGTGCCTCAAAACGAGGCCCAATCCTGAGCCACTCTGGGTGTCCAGTAGCCAGCACCAGCCTGGCCCCAAGAAGGTACTCGGTCCACCCTTGTTGAATGGCATCAGATTCTCCCAAGGAAGGAAGGGAATTTCAGAAACACCTTTAGAGTGCCTCACGCATAAAGACAGAAGCAGAGAACGACAAAACTCACGGTCATCAAGTCCATGCGACTCATGGGGACCCTCTAGGACAGGGTAGAAGTGCCCCTGCGGGTTTTGGAGACTGTTTACTCGGCTCTCTCTCCCAAGGAGCTGCTGGTGGTCTTGAACTGCTGGCCTTGGGAATCGCAACCCAGCACGTAACCACCACCCCACTGATTAAATGTCTGAAAGTGTGTGTGTTGAGCACTGTTGAGAGGTTGGGTTGTGACCAGGCACAGGGAGGTGCCGTGGGTGCACTTACAAGTACACAGGGAGGCGCCTTTGCCAGAGGAGGTGGGGGGCGGCGACATTGCTCTGGTAGACTCTATGGGTTTGGGTTGCTCACTCGATGGGGTGGGGGAGCGAGCAGGACCACCTGCGAGGGTCTCCTGGTTTCTCTCTTGGAAACCAGGTAGATTTGAACCCACCAGCCACTCTGCAGGAGGAAGATGAGGCTCTTTGCCCCTTAAAGATTGACAGCCTCACAAACCCATAAACCCAGTTCTGCTCTCTGCCCTATAGGGTTGCTCTGAGTTGGCACTGCCACTGCGGCAGTGGGTGGTGGTGGGAAAGACAGGCGGACTGGTGTCCTTGGCCCAGGTCACCACATGGTGAGCAGGGACAAGGTCACAGCCCCTGTTATTTGTATGATTCTCCCAGACTCTCAGTTACATGTCTGTGGGTTCAGGGCCCTTGCAGCTCCTAAAAGACCTGACGTAATGAACCCCCAAATAAAATGCCCACGGCACCCGGGAGGGAGCCAGTGTGTCCTCTGGAGCGGCCACAGCACAGAGCTTTGCTCCTTTGGGCCCACCCTGTCCTTTCCATCCCATGCATCCTCTTTGAGCCTAAATGAGACAATGAGGTTAAAACCCAGCCTGCCAACTGGACATCCCCTTACAGAAGGGCCAGCCAGGGTGCAGTGTAACAGCAATGAAACATATAACTTTCCTCTAGTTCCTAAAGGCTTCCTCCCCGGCCCCCACTATCATGATCCCAATTCTAACTTACAAATCCGGCTAGACCAGAGGATGTTCACTGGTACAGATAGGAACTGGAAGCACAGGGAATCCAGGACAGATGATCCCTTGAGGACCAGTGCTGAGAGTGGAAATACCAGGAGGGTGGAGGGAGCGTGGGTGGAAAGGGGGAACCGATTACAAGGATCTACATGTGACCTCTTCCCTGGGGGACGGACAACAGAAAAGTGGGTGAAGGAAGACGTCAGACAGTATAAGATATGACAGAATAGTAATTTATAAATTATCAAGGGTTTATGAGGAAGGGGGAGCAGAAAAATGAGCTGATGCCAAGGGCTCAAGTAGAAAGTAAATGTTTTGAGAATGTTGATGGCAACAAATGTACAAATGTGCTTGACACAATGGATGCATGTATGGATTGTGATAAGAGTTGTATGATCCCCCAGTAAAATGATTTAAAAAACCCTCCTGCTTGCAAGGCCATGGGCTGGGGAGCTGCCAAGCTCTCTTAATGCTCTCTGAAGTGGTGAGGGGGGGTGGGGTTTGCCCTTCCCCCTGCTCCGCTCCCCCGCCCCCCATCTTCCTGGCAGGTACCAGGCTCCCCGATAACTCTCAGCCTAATGGCCAGTGGAAAGACTCCGGCAGTGGAAGTCGCACAGACCGGCGCTACAGCTTACTAGACACGTTCCACAGACACGGGCTTCAACATGCTTCAACATGCATGGCTTCACTTGAAGGACAAAGTCTCTCTTCCAATCGCTCCAAAATTCTAAGGCCCTTCAAGTCCTCAGATTGCAAGGGGCTGACTCACGTACCATCTGTCGTTATGAGCCAGGCTCCACCAAGCCTGTTACAGGCAGGCCTTGGAGACCCCATGGCTCCCGTTCCAGCCTCCATGTTAAAGCCAACACTACCGACAGGCAAGCCACACAGCTTGGGCCCCGGTGCAGACGAGAGTTAGGTCGACGCTACACTGAGTGGTCCATTCAGTGTGCCGCAGCACTGTGAAAGGCTTGAGACCCGGAGAAAATGAGCGACATGGAACACGGAGACACAAAGTGAGCCAAGCTCTTGGCAAAATGGAACCAACAGACTAGCTTGATGCTGGTGCCCCAAACCTCCGCCGTGTAAAATCGCTGGTATCCGTGACTCGCAACACACGGAGGTGAGCCTGTGCTTAAAAACTCAGGGTAAAGACAGCAGTTCAACATAACAGTCCGTGGTACTTTGTGACCCATATCAAAACGTGATTATTACAAACGTTAACAGTAGTCTAGTATGTCCAGAAGTGTCTCTTTAAGTTGTTTGTTGTACAGAAAGGTACACGCTATACTAAGACAAGCATTGGCCTAACGGACTTAGACTCGATCCATCCCTAACTGCCCAGGCTGAGGAAGAGAGCTTGTTCGTGATCCCAGGAAAACCTGGGCTCTGGTCTGTGCTTAGAAGTGGAATGACCTCGCTTGGGCCACCGCAGGCTCGGTTGACCAGTTCCTAGCTCGTGTCTGAAGATGGGTGGCTGGAGACAGCGCAAAGAGCAAGGGCAGAAAATCCAGAGCCCAAGACTCTCAACTCCCTTGGGAGCTGTGCAACCTTGGGCAGAGCCCTAGGCTGACCTGGGCCACAACTGCAAAATAAAAAGTAACCCTAGAAAGTGAATCCATGGAGCGAGTCCTAGGAGTGAGGTCAAGCCACCCCTGTGTCAACTCACTTAATCCTCACAACCACCCAAGGGGCAGGTGCTACAGCCACCATCAGAGGCGCGCGAATACTGCGGAGAAGAGCCAGCATCTGAGACCCTTGTACACGGTGGAGGGAGAGCCGCCGTCTGAAGTGTGTCTGCACTGCGGCGGGGGAGGCGAAGCCATGTGGTGAAGACTGAGGCAGAGCCTGACTGGATCTTTGTCCCACCCACCAGGCCATATGCTCTGGGTGACCCTGGGATTCCAGGTGATCCTAGCGACATCCCACAGTGCGTGCTGTCTCTCATGATGGTTTTTACCAGGCTCTACACCTGCTGCCCGGGACTTGAAGCATCTTGCTCGTCAATGTCTCCTGAAAAGTGCAGACCGATCTTCACCAGTGCTGTCCCAGAGGGAAGGATGAACACTGTGTGTGTGTTCTGTCTGTCTGTCTCTCCTAGAGTTTCCTCAAAAACCCCTAAGCCCCCAAGGTGGAAAAGGCCACGATGTGTGCCTATTCAGAACCTAACAACCACCTACAGTTCCACCGCTTTGAGGCAACTAGGAGCAGTCTGGGTGCTTCATTCTCACCCCTTTGCATAAGCACATTATGAAATCGTCAAGGCCACACAAGACACACAAGTTTATAACCAGCTTGTTTCACTTAGCATGATTGTGGTAAGCATTTGCCCTCAGTGGGATCTGCTCCCAGTCAATGCGGGCCACGACTCAGCCACGACTCAGCCACGACTCAGCCACGACACACTGGAGCTCCTTAGAATTTTAGTAGCTGCGCAGTATTGCATTGTGGGAATGGGCTTCCCAACCAGCCAGTGTCTTTATTGTTCTCCCATTAAACCAGGCCCGACTTTTCTCCATTAAAGATAACACAGATATCAACGTCTGTGTACCGTACAGGAAGGCTTCTGACACAGCAGATCCTAGACCAGATGTTTTGGGAATAACTCTATGTCAGTCTGTGTATATGTCGACAAAGAGTTTCCCAGAAAGAGCAAAGCAATCCCTGCTCCCACCGGTACAGCCCGGCTTGTTGGGCGCCAATTTCGCAGAGCAGAAAGCACAAAAGATCTGAGGACAAGGGACCCAGTTTCTTCAGCAAATGAACAGCAGGAAGAGAAAAGGAAGGCGAGAGGCAATCATGATTTAAAAATCAAGGGACATACCAACCCAACCTGTGTCATTCTTGTCTGGAGTCAGAGTCACATACTAACCCTCAAAGGCTTTTCAACCAACCAGCCCAGGGTTTTGGCTGATTTGAATGAGTCCGACCAACCCCATGGCGGTCGAACCCCCCTTTGGACTCACAGCGGCCCCATTGGACGGAGTCGACCTGCACCACAGCGTTTCCAAGGCTGGGACTCTTCCCGGAGGCAGACTGCCACATGGTTCTCCAATGGAGCCGCTGGTGCGGAAACTGGTGCCCTTTAGGTCAGCAGAGGAGTGCTGACCCTTGTGTCACAAGGGCTCTCTTGCTGCCCCTTGTTCATTTTGTTAAATGGGTGATGTCATGGTGGGGGGTTACGGAGAGAGGTCTCTCAGGTCAACCTCTTAGTAACATGTGAGAGAAACAATAGGCTTGGGATTTATGTTGAAGACTATTCCAGTCCTTTCCTCTGAGAGAGAGAAAGAGAGAGAGAGAGAGAGAGAGAGAGAGAGAGAGAGAGAGAAACTGCCGTAGGGGATAGAATAGATCACAAAAGACTGGCCAAGTATTGATGACTGTTCCAAGTGGGTGATGGAATGTGGAATATATTTTATGTTCCGAGTCCTTGTGGGTACTTGGAGCATTCCTGTAACACAACGTTAGAAAGGATGGTGGGGCTACCTAAATGTGCATTGCCAGCCACCACTACGCCCATGGGGGAGGCTTGGTCTTTGTTTTCTGAATTTATAAACCTTGGGGCGAAGAGCAGACAAGGGCAGGGCTTCACTGAAGAGGCCACACACCATGTGTACTATGGGGCCACAGGCACAGGGCTAGCCCAAAGGGACCCAGAGCTGGCATCCACTGGATTACCCTCGAGCCCGAGCCCCTGTCCAGACATCGCAACAACTGGTCTGAGATGGGGCCCAGACACCTGCCCTGTGCAAAGCTTCCCAGGTATCTACCATGTGCAGCCAGGCTTACAAAGCAGAGCTCTTATCCCCATCCCTCTCTCAGACAGGGATCCCGAGGCCCAGGAAACACCCCAGCCAAGGGCATTCTGGGAGCGGAACCCCGTGGAATCTCCTGATGCCACAGAGATCATGCACATACTAACACCAGAGGGGGTTGGGTGTGGCCAGATCAAACAAAAGGTGTGTGCTCACAGACAGCTTCTGCATCTCCTGTCCCACTTGGACTGTGCGTTCCTTGGGGGTGGGAATGAGATCATACTCATCTATCTCCACGTTCCAGACTGAGGCCCCCGACCTGATGCCCCACTTTGTGAATTCCCTAGGAGGGAAGACTAGGCCATAGTACATTTCTGTTTCCCAGCGCCTGTGCTGAGGGCCCTGAGTTGTGCCCCCAATCCATGAACAGACCAGCAAATGGGTGTTGCTGTGGGGTGTTTGCGACTCACCGGGATCTGATGCACAACTGAATCAAATGCTGCCCAGCCCTGCCCATCCTCGCGATTGCCACCACGTTTCTACTTTCTGCTGCAGCCACCGCGTCGATCCATCTCAGCAAAGGTCTTCCTCTTTTTTGCTGCCCTTCTACTTCACGTGCCCTTCTCCAGGGACTGGTCCCTCCCAACCATGTGCCAAGTACACGAGGCAGAGTCTCACCATCCGCCCTTCTAACGGGCAGTCAGGCGGCACTTCTTCCAAGACAGACGTACTTGTTCTTTGGGCAGTCCAGGGTGCTCTCAACAGTGTTCACCAGCACCGTGATGCAAACGCACCGATCCCACGTGGCCTTCCTATATTCCACAGCCTACGCTCACATGTTGAACAAATGTATGGACCGCTCTTAATAGCCAGATGGTTAAAAAAAAACAACAAACAAGACCCCTGGCCTCAGGGGAACCCCTGAGACACGGGGAGAGCCTCTGAGGCAATAGGAATTCAGGGGCCCTCTTCACTCCTCTCTGGACATGTTGTCAGGGGAGACCAGTCCCTGGCGAGACAGCGTGCCTGGTGAAGCAGAGGCGGAGTGAAAACGGGAAGGCCCTCAGCGAGATGGATTGACACAGTGGCAGCATCGCTGGGCTCACACGAAGGACGGCACAGGACCGGGCCCTATTTCACCCTGTTGTCCATCGGGTGGCTGCGGGCTGGACCGGACTCAATGGCTCCTAACAACCACCATCTCACTCCTCCGTCCGGAGTCTCCTGACCTACTGCAGCGAGTAGCTTGGGTCCTGGTTTTCAAAGCGGGTGTGACCAAGAGTGACTCAGGGAGCCGACTCCATACACCGATGGACTGCCTCCCTGTAAAATCTGACGGCCAAAGTGCCATCCCATCCCCCGACTCACACACGCCCACCCTGAGCCCCAGCCCCGGCCTTCCTGTCTCTGGAAGACAAAGGAGACTTAGCATGGAGACAGGGCCTGTGTGCAGAGCTTTCCAAAGAGCCTGTGCACCTCGATTTGACCTCTGCCCTCTCCCGCAGATGGGGAAACCGAGGCCCAGAGCCTTGAAAGAAGCTGCTTCCAGCCCAGACCCAGGGAGGCAGGGCTCCCCACCCCCACCCCACCCCACTCCTCCCTAGTGTGAGCCCTGCTAAGCCAGCCTCCTGGCCACTGCGTGCTCAGGCCGAGAGCCCCAGGCGCTGTGCCCCAGGTGCTGTGCCTGACACACACACACACACACACACACACACACACACACACACCATGGGGCAATCTTCCTAAAGAAGGCTCTCATTGCCGTGAAAGAGACGGGAGACGGGGCTCCAGGAGGTGACGCCTGCTCACCTAGCTGTCTGCCTCTCGTGTCTCCCTCTGCACAGGACAGCCTGCTGGCCATGGGTTCTACTGGCCAAAGGCCCCCACTGCACTTGGCAGGCCCACATGAAAGCCCGCCGCGGAGGAAGCCCTGGCAGGCCCCACGCCCAGTTCTTCCGGCCACTTACTGGAGTGACTGCTTGCTCAGGAGCCATTGTGGGGGCGGGGAGCGGCGGCCCAATGGGCGGCTCACTGCCGGACTGGTCTTCCCACGTAGTGGTCAGGGCCTGGTCTGTGGTTGCAGATGGAGCTCCGTCACCAGGACCCTGGGAAGAAGACCAGCACAGGAACTGGTCACCTCCCCCACCAAACCCACTGCCACAGAGTCTGTTCCGTCTCATAGCTGACCGCAGAGCAATCCTGGTCAGTTCTGAGATGCTAGTCCCATTCAAAACACTCCGACCCACATGCTTCTTTCTCCCAACAGGGTCACGGGACCACCGACTCCTACATCCCCTCCTGCAATGAGCATCTCCCTCAAGGCTCACTCCCCACCCCTAGCAAGGAAGGCCGCTCTGACTCTTGGGAAGGGGGTAAGGACAGACACCAAGCCAGGATTTCCACTGTCCTGCTCTGGGCTTGGAGCTCCGCTGCCCTCACGTGGGGTGGAACGTACCCCCAGGCAGGCCGGGAGCTGGCCCGCTCCATGGTGCTGACCTCTCCCTCCCTGTGAGTCAGGCTGAGGCAGAGAGGGCCCAGGGTGGACTTACTGAAGTGCTCTCTCCTCCAGGGGCTGTCGTGGGCATCAGGAGGGCCAGCCCGTCTGTGGGGGCCCTGCTGGCCTCCTCTGCGGTGCTGAGTGGCACATCTGCAGTGGCTGCCCCACTTCCCTCACTCTCTGGACCCTGAAATGCAACCGGTGTGTGGGACAATGCCACTTCACCCACATCCCTGGGCCAGCGACCTTGAGGTCGTGGGTGCGGGGCTGCAGGGTGGACAGGCCTGTGGACACCAGACCACTGCCGTGTGTACAGCGGTCCCTCTCCTTACCCACCACTCTGTCTCAGCCTCGCCGAGTCCTGGGAGCCCAGGGGTTAGAATGTGGCCCTCATGCCACCCAGCCCAGCCTGTTTGTCTCCTTGGACACAGGTCCAGGAGCTGGAAGCCCTCCATCCTCACAGGCGGCCCTTCCCTTTCCAGACAGCTGCTCCCTGAGGCCTGGTTTCTACTCGGCCAAGACACAGCAACCCACTGGGGCCTCGTTCTCTCACCGGTGGGGAGGGGAGGGAGATGAAGAGGCAGAGGAGCAGGAGGAGAGGGTGAGGAAGGGGAGGGGGAGAGAAGGAGGAGGAGGAGGATATTCATGGACACAACCTGCACACTGGCCAGAGCAGTGAACTGGACGCCCCTCCCACTGTAACATGGCCCCTCCCCCAGAAGGACATCAGGTGAGGGGCTGTCTGGCCAGGGATGGGTGGGCCTGGGAGCAGGCACTCACATGATCCCGCTGGCGGCCGGCTACCCACTCCTCCACACACTCCCTCAGCCAAGACTCATGGAGCCCCTGCTTCTGCCAGGGAGGAAGGCCAGGCTGCTGCCAGCCACACCCTCCGTCTCCCTGCCGCTGACGCTCCTTACCGGTGCAGCCTCCTCCCCGAGGATCTCGGCAGTGGACACGGAGGGGGCTGGTCCCTGGGTGGACACACTGCCAGCCTCAGCCTCTTCCCCAGCGCTGCTGACAGATACCTCGGACTCCCCTGCCGTGGTGGCAGCTAAACTGCCTTTGTTATCTGGAGCCTGGAAAGAAAGCCACCGGGAGGGGCCGTGTCACTGGACCCGCCACCCTGGCTCCTCAGACAGTACGCTGTCGCTCCCTCCTCAAAGCCTTGGCACTGCCACACCTCACCTGGCCTCACCCCCAGCCCCCAGGGTGCATCAGTACAGAGCCAGCCCCGCCAGAGGGGTTCTCCTGGCTCCTGCCTGTCACCCAGCAGCTTGTGCTGGGACTCCCAGAATGGGCATCCCCAAGGGCCATGGCATCTGTGTGGAACAGAACCCAGGACCTCGGGCGTGCTAGTTTTCTCCTTGGGAGCTGTGTGTCCTCCCGCCAGCCCAGTGCAGTCTGGCGGCCACCCCTCCCACAGCCCTGAAAGTGCTCTCCCCTGGTCCCTGCAGCCAAGTGTAGAAGTCCAGTGGACACGCTCCAGGCCTTGACGCCTTGGCGCAGTGGCAGCATGGGACACAGGTTGCCAGGCCCTTTGATGTTGCTGGGGGTCACTGTGTGAACTTCGACTCCTAGGGACCCATGCGACAGAAGAGAGCGGTCCCCCGGCCTTCCCAGGCTCCCATCTGCATATGAGATCCAGGTCTTTCTTCTGCAGAGCCACTGGGTGGGTTTGAACCACCAAGCCCCCTAACAGATCCCCTGCCTCCATTCATCCTCGGTGGCCAAGGGGCTCCCCCAAACTCTTCCTTGCTCAATACCCCCCAGTGGCTCTCCTTTCTGCTGGACATTCCTGTGCACCCTGCCTTTGTCTCAGGCCCGCAATGGTCTTAGCAGCCTCCCCATCCTCCTCCAGCCTTCTTCATGCCCCTAGACTTTGCCCCTGCGGGTCTAAGTGCCTCCTGACCCCAGCTCTGAAGTTCCTCCTCCTGGTCCGACTGGCGGCATCTTTTCCTCGGACTTCCTCCTCCATGAGGCTGGGCCACTGGCCCCTCCTCTGTGCCCTCCCAGCATCCTGTGCCCTCCCAGCATCTATTGCCCCACTTACCATTCTGACACCAGGAGCCTCCACGAGCCAGCCAGGAGCCCAGCACCATGCAGTGCCCCATAACCACCCACCTGGTGGGCCAGTTTGTGCCCCTGTCTCCCTGCTCAGAGTCCAGAGAGGCCCTCCTCTGAGGCAGACTCCCATGAGCATCGCCCCCCAGCACCCAGGGCTGCGGGAGCGCAGTGTGCCCCCTGATACTCACTGTTGTGACCCACGCTGCTGGCTGCTCAGTGGACCTGGAGGGGGCCAGCTCCCCGCTGCCAGTCTCTGTTTCCCAGGTCGTGTTGGCAGACCCCTCAGCCTCGTCAGTTGACGCGGTTGCTGCTAAGCCTTCTTCAGCATGTGGACCCTGAAAATGGAGCTGATGTGAGAGACTATGCGGCTGAGCCCACAGCCCTGGGCAGCATGTCTGCCCCAGAGAACTGCTCCTGGGGCCTGCCCAGTCAAGGGCATTTCTGTAGTGCCTCCACCTCAGGGCAATTTCTTCTTCTTTTTCACTTTTTCTCATGAATTGGGTAAAGGCTGACAGATAAGGCAGTCAATTTTACGTTCAACTGGTCACACACCTTTCCTTTCTTCTTGTCCACCACAGTGCCCTCAGCGTAGCACCCCTGCCCCACCTTCTTCCATGTGCATCCCGTGTCCCTTCCTCCTGTTTTCCTCACCCTTCTAGCTGTATTCTTATGGCGAGGCTACCATTTGGACTCAGAATGGCTGGTTATACTCTGGTCTGCTTACCTACCTAGTGCCACGGGTCCCCTTACAGGCTGGTCAGTCGCTGGTGCACTGCCGTGCCTGTGGCTCCACCCAAGCCCCACAGCAGCACAGATTCACCGGACCACGGCGGCAGGACAGACCTCTTGCCTTCGAGCCAGTTTACACCATCTCCTGTCAACTTGCGAAGGGGTGGAGTCTAGCCTGTCAATCAGGCCATAGCCAATGAGGCCTCTGTGTGGGCATGGCCTTTTCCTAAGGATTCTGGGAACGCCTGTCTTCCTCCCTGAAGGCCGGACACACACACTTTCTGCTTCATCTTCCTGCTAACAGGCTACATGGAGCTACGTGGATGCAGCCAGAGCCCTGGAACTGGAGGAGCCACGTGGAGACCCACACCAGTGCTGAGATGCTTCCACCTCCACTGGATCCACCAGACTTTCCACCCACTGGCCTGTGATCTTCAGTGTCATTGCATGGCTTTGTGAGTCTGAAGAGGGCTTTATAGATTGGTATCAGACATATGGGGTAATATTGGACTTACGGACTGGATCTAGACTGGGCTGGGATGTTTTCTCCATATACAATGGTTCTTGTCTGTAACACTCTTTCTAATACACATAGAAGTGTCTATGAATTTGTTTCTCTAGTCTACCCAGACTAACATTTTTGCACAGCCACCGCCTCCTGGGTCACCCTGTGCTGGGACCAGATGCTGGTACTGGAACATTCTCCTCCACAGTGGGCTTCTGCCTGCCTTCCTCTGGCCTCCTCTCAGGACCCTTGCCAGGCTCTAAAACCAGGGCGAATGCTACTGAGGGGGCGTCCTTCTGAGACGGCAGGCAGCGAGCCGGTCTCCTCAGCCCTCTCCAGACTGGGAGCCACAGCTTCCGCTCTACTTCCGGGACTCAGTGCCCCTTGGAAAATGCACAGGGAGACCCTGAAGGCGCACAGGAAACGAGAAAATGGAAACAGCAGCTTTGCCAATGGATGGCAACGATTCCACCTGTCTTCCCGGGTGTTTCTGTTTTACTTACAGAGCCCTGGTGGCACAGGGGTTACTCGCTGAGCATTACACTAATCCAAAGGTTCGAAACCATCAGCTTCTCTGAGGGAGAAAGAAGAGGCTTTCTGCTCGCGTAAAGATTTAGACTCAGCAGCCCACGGCGGCAGTTCTACTCCGTCCTAGGAGCTGCTGAGTCGGAGCGGGCCCGTGGATGCGAGTTTGGCTTGGTGTTCTTGTGCTTCACATGCACACTCCTGCACAGGCGAGGCTGACCATTCGCATTCCCTTGCCGTGCGTCTTGGAAGGTCCCGTAAGGAGCGGCTATTGTATTTCTCCCACTTACTGGAACGCCCCCACCCTCACTCCAGCTCTACTCCATGTGACACAGTCAGTCCCGTATCCCAGACCACAGAGACGTGACAGCATGCAGTGCTAAATGAGACGCTTGCTGACTCAACTTCAGGTAAATCCCCAAACCAGTCAACCAACCAAACAAAACCCCACTGCCATCAAGTTGGTTTTGAATCAAAGTGACCCTCTATCAGGGTCCCGAGACTGTAAATCTTTACAGGAACAGACAGCCTCCTCTTCCTCCTGAAGAGCTGCTGGTAGTTTTGAACAGCCGACCTTATGGTTAACAGCCCAATGTCTAACCCACAGTACTAACCAAGCCCTGGGGCGGGGGGCTGCTATTCAATAAGCATCCTGCAACCCCTACATCCGGATAGAAGGGGCCAGAACACTGAACTGGGACCAGCTGAAGGGCGATGAAACTGGTTCTGCCCGAGGTCCTCCATTGGCCAGCCTACAGTTTGCATAAAAAAGGGCAGCGATTTGTTTGAGGGGCGAGTGCCTGGAGAGTAGGACACCTTTGAAGAATAACAGTCAACACGCCATGGCTTTTCCTTCCCAGGGCTCCCTTACAAACCACTTGGTGAGAGTGGCATATGTCCTTTGGAACGTGGGGGACACAGGGACTGGTGGCTAACTCTTGTCAAGGAGAAACAAAGGGAGCCACCCAGAGCAAGGCAGACAACGAGAGAGAGAGAGAGAGAGAGAGAGAGAGAGAGAGAGAGAGAGAGAGAGAGATCTGCTCTGCAGCTGCTTTACTGGGACAAACAAGAAATAGTCAAGACACGACGGCTCTCAAAGAGGGTGATGGCGGCCATGTTGAAACAGACTTTGCCCCAGATGGCCCTCTAACATCCAGAGTCTGGGGAGAAGCCTGGGAAGAAGTCAAAGGTCAACCAGGGAGCCTTCACGCAAGATCCCTGGGGAGAGAACCTTCAAAGTCACAAAAGCCCCAGGAGAGGAAGTTCCGCCAATGAGGCCTCTTCCACACAAGGGTGGGCCCCGGAACACAATGGAGCCAACCAGCTCCCACAGGGTGCCTCTTCTCCCTCCCCCTGCCCCCCACCCCCATCCCCAGCCGGGCCAGACCCGGGCCGAGAGGGAGGTGTCTGTCAGAACTCGGAGAGGAAATCCCTGAGCACCTGCTCTTCCTTGCTGGAGACGCCCGGCTTGTGTTTGTGTTTTTGCTGACTTTCTGATCTTACCTTGGACTGGGCTGGACTTTTTTGGATAATCACCTGGGGAGCTGGGAGCACGGAGTTTTCGTGAAGGGCCAGGGAGAGAGTGGGCTGGCCTCCAGGCTGCTAGCAGGGGTCATGGTGGCAGAATGCACTTGCGTGACTTTTGTACCGCACTGCGTCCAGCCTTTCTAAACTTGGCTCTGCAGGTCTCACCACACACAGTCCAGCAGGGACCGTCCTGCAGGTCATCTGGTTCTGAATGGACGGGGCTCCAAGGGCCAAGAGGCTGACCGCTTCACGATGGAGCCCGGGGAGGTGGTGACCATGGAGAGGGGAGCGTGAGGGGCCAGGGGCAAGGCTGAGTGGCATCTCCTCCTCCTGTCTTGGACATCCCTGGAGGGCCTCTGGAGACCTGGGACCCCACCCCATGAGGAAGGAGGCGGCCATGCCTTCCCACTAAAACCCGTCTGGGCTTTCTAATACCAGCCACCGTGAGATCAGCAGACACGTGTCCTCTGGATGGAACGAATGGAATTCACCATTTCCTCACCTGCTCGTTCCCAGCACCAAGGAAGGCCCCATCCCCCGAGCCACCGTCTGTTATGGGGTCACCGTCCACAGTGTGAAACCCCTCCAGGGTGTCATTCAGGATCTCCCCAGACCCTAAAGGAAGCAGGCATTCGGAAGTCAGTGATGGCACTTCGCAGTCTTGAAAATGAAGGTGCAAACAACGCTTTATCTACTGACTTGTCAACATATCCATGGTACAGGATTGGGTGGGGCGCGGGGGTGGGGGCAGGGCGGGCAGGGTGAACAAGATGCAGAAAAATACTCTTAAAAAGGTTGTATCGCTGGTGGTTCAGACCACAGGCTCTGGCCCCAAATGCGGAGCCTGCACCCCTCTTTGCCGTTTGCAAGCCACATGATCTGTGATAGTTGCTTAGCCCGTACCTCAGGTGCTTCATTGATACAGTGGATAATAACACCTCTACCTCGCAGGGTCGTTCTGAAGCCCACATGCTATAAGGATGTAGCAGGTCCATACAGAGAAGCCACAAAGGACAGTCTCCAGCATACAGTCAACAATGGATGTTAATCAACTACACCTTCTCCTCACTTAGCAACGACCTCATTATCCGACGTCTCACATTATGACCGCAGTGAAAAATCTACCATCAGACTATTTCTGTATCTGACTAAAGACCTATATCAGAAGCCCTGGAGGTAAAGTGTGCTACGTATGAGTTGGGCTGAGAACCACCAGGTTGGCAGTTTGAAACCACCAGCTGCTCTACAGGGGAAAGAGGAGGCGCTCATGAAGAGTTAGTCAAGGAAACCTACAGGGGAAGTTCTACCTAGTCCTGCTGGGTCACTATGTGTTGCAACCAACTCCAGGGCAGTAAGTGAGAGTACAGACATGTATCTGGTGGTAACGTTGGCTGTGACGGTTCAGGTTACGTGTCAACTTGGCTGGGCCATGATTTTCAGGGGTTGGCAGTGTGTAATGATGTCATTTGACAGTGATGTGATGTCATAATCCTCCATTTGTGATCTGATGTGATCATCCTCCATTTTTACAGAACACTGCTTTTTGCTTAATGCCTTGTTCTCTGGAACCTAGTCATCTTGATACACAAGGAATAGGTGCATCATCGTGAGTGGTAATCTGTATATGAGATACATGATTTATCTGAAATATAGGCAAGTATATATATATCAAACCATGCTTAATATTAGCTCTCTCCTTGAGAGGCTATTAGTGGAGGAAGTGGAAGAAACTGTTCTTTCTGGGCATAGACAACTCTGTGTGGATTGAATTCTCACTACAAGAACACATTATCTGTTGCAACGTAGCAAATTAAAGCAGAGGAGGAGAAAGTGTCCTGTTGGAGATAGGCTCCGGAGGAAACACCAGCTGGACAGGTGAAACAGGCCTCCAGGAGGCAGGCCCTCTCTGGGGAGACGGCAGGCTGCAGAACATGGCCTTGTGGAGCAGGGCAGAAAGCGTGACGCTGTCAGAGAACCCATGAGATCTGTGAGTCTCCGCCTCGGGTGTCTATCAGATCACACTTGTTCTTCCTGAGAGACCAGGCTGCACTGATTTCAGGGCCATGCACAGCTGGGACACTGGCGACTGCTGGGCGACCTAAGCCGGCCATCCCAGCACTCACCCGGGCTTGGAACTAGGAATAAAGGGCTTATGCACATGCTCAGCTCGTTATGCTGTGTCCCAGACACGCTTGCTACAACTCCATTTTTAATTTTTGTGCTTGTACCGACCGAGAAGAGGGCGCAGGAAAGAGCTAAAGCAAACCAGCAAACAAACCTGTGAGACTGACTACACAACTGTGCAAACCAGAAATCTTGCCCCAAGAAACACATATCAATTCTTGACTCGGGAAACGGCCCTACCAAAACCACGGACTTCTAAAGCTTGGGGCGGCTCTGCTGCCCAGGCCATGTCCCTCTCGCAGGCCCTTCTAGAGGTATGGTTGCCTCTCCTGCAGTTTCTATCTCTGCAGAAAAGCCTTACACACGAGGTCCTTCCTAGTCTTCCAGCCCACACCCATCTGTGCGAACAATGCTCACACAAGTGCATGCCCGCTGCAGCCCAGGCTCAGTGCTAAGCACGCCCCAGGCACCCACTCAGGAATCCTCCCACGAGGCCAGCTGTCCAACCTATAAGGACCCAAGCAGGCAGAGCCAGGACGGGAGTCCACGCTTTTAGCCACTACACTGTCAACACATAACACGTGTGTCCTGCTCTGGTCTGCATGTTAACACTCTATCTATTGCTATTAACCCCGCTTTGCAGCGGGGAATAAAGTCCCACTGAGAGGAGTGACTGAGCGGGGCTGGGTCCTCTGTGTGCGTGCGTGCTATACACATGCTGGTCCCACAGCAAGACCAAGTGACCCAGCACCCACAGGCACGCTCCCCAGCCGGCCAACCACTCTCGTCCTCCCTGCTCTGACCACCAGGGGGAGCAGTGCAAGCAGCCCCAGAGTCTGGTCTCTGGGAGGAGGAGCACATTGCTGGGGCGAGGATGGTGTCAGGGAAATTTGAGATAAAATTAATAGTTACCCTTCGGGCTGCCAACCTCCAGGTCAGCAGTTTGAAACCACTAGCCCCTCCTCGGGAGAAAGGAGAGGCCTTCTACTCCAGTAAAGAGTTATAGCTTTGGAAACCCACTAGGGCAGTTCTACCTACCCTATAGGGTCACTGTGAGGCAGCATTGATTAGATGGAGGTGAGTGAGCTTTGTTAGCCCCTAGCCAGAGGCCTGGTGTGGGCTTGGTGCCTTTCCTCCAACCCCTAAGCTGTCCATTCAAGAAGAAAGGTTGCGTTTCTGCCAGCCAAGTTGTTTCCGTTTGCCCTCTTATCTGCTAGATAAGCACTTTGGCTCATCCCAGGGACAGGCTAGCAGCGCCAGGACCTGAGGACCAGCTGGGATTTGCCTCTTCTGCCTTTGAATGCATCCCCAGCCTAGGAGAGGCACAAGCCCGGGCCCCCACCGGCCCCTGGCACCTGCACAGAGCCTGACTCCCACCGAGCGCAGTACTCACTCTGACAGCCACTTCCACATCCGGGCCACCTCTCATCTCTCTCAGAGGACCGCTAAGGAATGCGAGATTTGGAAACATGAGGCACTTTGTCCCAGGCCTGGAAGTCAAGAGGTGGCAGAGCAGGGACACCACCCAAACTGCCTCGTCCCGGCCCAGGAGTATTTCCACCTCAGGATTTAGGGGGACATTATTAAATTATCCTAAATCTCCCTCTATTCAGTACCGTATGCCTCCTCTCTCCCACGGGCTTCCTAAGAGGTGATTTTCCAACAGCATTCCTTAACTGATGGCAGAAACACAAACAATCATCACCTGTGCATTGATAAGGGGGCGTGGCCGTGTACAGAAGCACAGGTGGGAACTACAGTCCACTCATAACCCTGCCACCCAGAGAGAACTGACGTATAGCAACTCAGGGCATTTTATTCTAGCACCACATTACTCCCCCAGCAAAACACAAAAGCAAACACGCCGTCACCCAGTGGGCTGTGCCTCACGGAGACCCGAGTGTCAGAGCAGAGCTGTGCTCCTGGGGGAGTGGGGGGGTGGAGGGGTTCCGAGGACCGAATTCTCAGCAAGAGATCCACCGGTCTCCCTCCTCACTCATCACGGCGTTGCCAGGGGCTGCCACGTGGCCTCTGACTCATAGCAAGCATCTGGGACAGAGAAGAGCTGCCCCGCGCGGGGCTTTCCTGGGCTGTCCCCATTACAGGAGCAGAGGACAGGCATTTTCTCCTGCGGACCAGCTGGTGGGTAGCCAAGCACGTCACCAGACCAAAGAAGCCCAAACCCACTGCCCTCAAGTCAGTCCCGACTCACAGTGACCTCCATGGGGTTTCGGAGGCTGCCAATCCCTCTAGAGCAGAGAGCTTCATCTTTCTCCCTTGGAGCAACGGGTGGGCTTGAACCACTGACCTCTCAGTTAGCAAGCGAATCCCCACCCAACAGACATCATATCTAAAGTGGCTCCTCACTGGATTGCTAACTGCAAAGTCAGGAGTTGCTCCACCACCTGCTCCACAGGAGAAAGACAAGGCTTTCTACTCCGGTCTAGAGTTACAGTCTCGGAAACCCACAGGATTCTGTGAGTCGGCGTGGGCTCTTGGCTTGTTTTGATGTATACGCAGCACGTGCAAATCAGAGTCACAGCACATAGACAGTTTTGAATTGTGACTCTTTTGAATGCTTCCTGGGTCTCCTTTAGGGCTGCACATATGCATAAAATACAATTTGACCAGCCAGGCCCCGTGGGGGGGGGGGCTTGGCTGGAGGAACAGTGCTGTGGAGGGTGAGCTTGCCCCTAGTTCCGCCACGAGCTGTTCTCCAGCCCCTCTGAGAAAGGGCAGAGAGCACAGGCCCGGCCAGCTCAGGCCTGGGCACAGGCGGAGCAGCTGCCTAGGGACAGATCTGCTCTGGACCCCTCCTGGAGCTACTTCTGCCTGGGCAGAGGGGCAGGGGGCAAGGGCAGGGGCAGGGTGGCCAGGAGGCCCACCTCACCTCCGGTGAGCTGCTTCTCTGTGACGTGAGTCCCTGCTCTTGCCACGAAAGGAGGGGCAGGAAGTCCTTCCTCAAAGGTTCTCATCTACCCACGTCACGGAACGCGCCGTGAGAGGCCGCGGCGTGGGAAGGGGCGTGAGGACTTGCCTTGCTCGGAGAGGCTGTGCACGAAGCTCAGGTTGGCGGCTTCTGGGGTCTCCTCAGGCACAGGCTCGCCGGATAGCTCCACGTCCTCAGAGGGGGGCGCGAGAGTTGGAGGCATGTTGATGGGGTCTGCCTTTGCTGCTTCCGGCTGAAGGGCGGAAACAAGAGCCCCGGCATTCAGTCGGCAGTGAAGAAGAAAGCTGTTTCAAAAGGCAGGTTTAATATCCGCAAGCACAGGTGAAACCCGCAAGAGAACCTAGACCCACCTGCCGTGCACCTGGGCCATCACAGACCCTCCCTGGGCCTGAGGCAGGTGCACACTGGAGAGAATGCATAAATGCTACTCCGTTGACAGTGCCATTCTACTCATCTCAGCTGAGCTCTGTGACACCCACCCCCCGGCTGACACAAAGGAGCTGCTAGGGAGGGAGCTGTCAGATGGAAGAATGCGTGCACAGAAGGATGAGCGGGGCTGGGCTCCCTAGTGCAGTAGGACATGGAAGCCAGGGCTGAGCTTGAGGGGGCTGAGCAGAGAGTGGCAGGATCCGGCGATCGACAGGTGCTGAACATGTGGTGTGAGCGAGGAAACAAAGCTTGGTCTTGTTTTCGGGGCTCCTTTGTTATTGCAGCATGTCCAGTGCGTCCTGACTCACACTAGGAAACAGTTTCTCTGATGGCAGAATCCAGGGTATGATGATCCACCTGGACCAGAATCTCTGGTCCATCAGAACAAGGGGAATCTTTAAAGGGGCCTGTAACTTAGGGGCTATTTTCAAACAGTCTTACTGGCATGTGATCCGTGTATCATGTCATTCAGTGGTTTAAATGTGTTAGGAAGCATTGGGCCATCACCACCACAATCAAGTTTAGAACAGCGCCTTCATTCTTGCACCTGTTATCCTTAGCTCCCCACTACCCCCCACCTCCCCTGCCACAGCCCTAAGGAGCTCTTAACCTAGTTATTGTCCCGCTCGATTTACCTATCCTGGATTTCACAGCGAGAAAATCATACCGAAAACCCAACCACGACAACCAAACCAAATGCAGAGCAACTCGAGGCTTAACGATTCAGTTCTTCCAGTCAGACCAGGGTCACACCCCCGCTCTGCGCCTCCTCGCTAAGCTGGGCATGTCACGTACCCTCACCCGTCTCCGTGTCTTCCTCTGTAACACGGGGACAGCATGGACACTCCAGGGGTAGAAAATGCACGGACGGCTGGGCACAGGGCCCCATCCGAGGCGGGTCTCATGAGCGGGCATCAAAAAAACCCAAACTCACTGCCATCAAGTCGATGCCAACTGAGAGTGACCGTATAGGGCAGGGTAGAACTGTCCGGGTGGGCTTCTGAGACTGTCACTCTTTCCAGAGTAGAAAGCCTGTCTTTCTCCCAGGGAGCAGCTGGTGGTTGCAAACGGCTGAGGATGAGGTTAGCAGCCCAGACCGTAACCACTCCCCCACCAGGGCTCCGTAGACTCTCAGATTCCGAAAAGAACAACTAACAACTCCCGGACAGTGAGCCTCACTGGGGGCTGCCATGCAAGGTGAGCGCTTTGTCTTTTTGCTCACCTGCGCTTCTGAAAGATGGAAAACACACACGGGGCACGTGCTTTACAGAAACACCTCTATGGCTCGGAGTGCCATCAGGTGTCCAGAGGGCCGTGGACGACGGGAAGCTGCAGGGACTCAGGCCGTGAAGAGTGAGAGGGGTCTCAGAGGACAGAGATGGAGGGAGGGGCCGGGACGAGGAAGGGCATGCCATTCACTGGGCCCGACACCTTGAATCAATGATGCAGGGAAGCAGGGAACAGAAGCTGGCGCTGGGCACACGGAGGCTGGCTCCTTGCTGAGCAGAGGTGGCTTGGGTGAGGGCCATGGCAGGTAACTGGGGTCAGCGGTGGGCTCTGGAGTTCCCCTTGGCAGCAGTGAGAGTATAGCCCAGGGAAGCGAGGCCCAGGCCACGGCACCAGGAGGCCCAGCGAGACAGGAACGAGGACAGCGGTGGGCAAGCAGAGGACCGGCACCATCCGGCAGAGGGAGAAGACCAAGGAGGACTGGCCATGTCTCCCAGCTGGAGATACCACCTCGCAGGGTGTATGAGGACTCCTGCCCCGGGCGGGCCCTCTCCTCTCCTGGGGAGGCATGTGAGCGGAAGCCATTCAGCATGGTGCCAAGGAAGCCCGGGAGAGCCCAGGGTGAGGCTGCTCTCTAAGGCCTTCCGGCTGTGGGACAAGGCAGGGTGGCGGGTGGGAGGTGGCGAGCACAGGGGCTGAGGCAACGGCGGGCTGTGTTCTGGCACCAAGTGTGACCGTTGGGCTTCTATGACACCACAGACTCCGGCCCATCAGCCGCCAGTGTGTTTGGGCAAACTGCCAGCCAGGCAGGGAGAGCCCCTGCCCAAGGGCAGGATTCCATTCTGGTGAGCTGAGCTGACCCTCGGTGGTGGGGCAGCAGGGTGCTGCTTCAAGCAGGGCATTGTCGGCTCTCAGGGGTCAGCATGGTTTGTGATAAACCAGGAATGTCGAGTCACTTCCTGAGACCGGGCCACGCGCCGGTCCCTGGCCGAGTCCTGAAGACCAAGAATGAACGAGTGGGGCAGCGTGCCTGCCCTCGGACTGCCGACCCAGACACAGCTCCCTGGGATGTAAGGTGACGCGGGACAGGAGAAGGGAGAGTCCAGTGCCCGGAGGGAGACTCAGCCACATGGCCTTCCAGGAGGAGGCCCGGGCAAGCTCCTGAAGGAGGGTCGGCCATTTTCAGTGGGGGGCAGGGAAGGACAGGGCGGGCAAATAGGACGGGATGAGCTGAGGTACAAACCCATCGCCATGAGCCTCCCCCACCTGCCCCCCACCTCTGTCCACGCAGGACCGAGTGTTTCTCTCCACAAACAGAAGCAAATCGCTAGGCCTGGGTCCCGCGGCGCAGCTGGGCAGGTCCAAACAGCCGAGCTCTCCTATAACTGGCCACTCCCGCCGACCTCAAAGCTAGTGGTTGCACCAGGTGACCTTCAGCTAAGGAGAGGGAGGTGGCTGGCATGTTTGGGAAGCTGTTAGCATTTGGGTGCCCTCACCAGAGAGGCCCTCAGCCCTGGCTGTGGGTCAGAAGCACACCAGAGCGCTCCCTCTACATCCAGATTCCAGGACCTCCCTCCAGGCCTCCAATCAAAAACTACCTATAGGGCAGGCTAGGAGTGCCCCTGGGAATTTCTGAAACTGTGGCTTTTCACAGGAGTAGAAAGCCCCCTCATTCTCCCGAGGATCGGCCGGTAGTTCTGAACTGCTGACCTTGTGGTTAGCAGCCCAGTGAGCAACCCAAGATGCCACCAGGGTTCCCTTCCCTCCAGGCCTACTGAATGTGAATGGCCGGGTATGCAGCCCAGGTGAGCATCTTTTCTCAGACTTGACATCCTGCCCCACAGGTGTTGGTGGTGCTCGGCCAGGACTGAGAGCCAAGGGATGTTCATCCTAACCCAGCCATTAGACACAAGCCGGTGTCAGCAGAGGCTGGCTGAGCCCAGGGGAGGCATGGGGTACCCCACTCACTGCCACCGAGTCTGTTCTGACTCATAGCACCCCTACAGGGCAGGGTAAAACTGGCCCGGTGGTTTCTGAGGCTGTAACTCTCGACCGGCATAGAAGGCCCGGTGTTTCTCCTGCAGAGTGGCTCATGGTTTGGAACTGCTGACCTAACAGCTAACAGTCCAACGAATAATCCACTATGCTACCCAGGTTTCCTACAAACAGGGAGCAGGGATTCCTATTCTAAATGAGGAGGGGGCTGTGGAGGGGCGGGCTCAGGCAGTCCATGATTCAGCCCACAGGCCGTGGCTGGTGTCTGGAGGGTGGCGGCCTAGAAAGAAAGCGTGCAGACGGGAAAGTGAGATTCATTTCAAGAGAAAAGCCAGACAGCGGGGAGGGCCAAGTCTGAGACTCGGAGGGAAATCCCCGGTCCCCGAAGGGTGGTTGCTGAAGAGAACCCTGGGGCCCTTCCAGGAGACAGTGAGGGGGGAGGCCCCAGCCTAGCTGTGTGTGTCAACCGGGGACAGAGGCTGGGAAGCCCCTGTGCTAGGGGTCCCCCTCTGTGGACTGGTGGGGACAGAGTTCCCTGCGAAGGCCACGGAAGGTGGTGGATTGCTCTACGCAGAGCGTGGTCGGGAGCACCTCGCAGAGATTCTGGTCATCAGAACCAGACAAGAGGGCACAGGGCAGGCCGCTCCTCAGGGCCCGGCCCTGCGGGGATTCTCCTGGGACGGATGGGGGGCTTCGGGTACTTGGGAAGCCCCCAAGACAATCTGGAAGTAGGTGTGGAGACAGAGACCCCAAGAGCCATTGGGCATATTGGCTGGTCACTCTAACACATTCCTTCCCTTAATCCACGCAAGAGACAGACCGACCAGGCACCACCCACCGTCAGTAAGATTCCCTGAGCATGTGCCATGGGCCAGGCTCAGTTCACGGTTCAGAGAGCAAGCATGACCACTCAGCCTCACCCTTGTGAATTCCCACTTCTGGGAGGAGGAGACTAAATGGGGAGAGGTTAAGTGACTGTCTCATGGTTGGTCGGTCCACAGCCTGTAGTTGGAGGAGTTAGGGCTGACACTCTGGGCCTCTGGGCTTCACGCACACAAAGCCAGTCCTGCTGCTGGGTTGGTTCGGCAAATCCACGGGGAGCCCACGTGTCACAGAGCAGGACTTCCCATCGGCTTTCCTGGCTGGAAACCAGATACCGGTGCCACTCGGGACCCTCCTGTCGGCCCCAGTTCTCTTAAAACACCCTGAGAAGACTAAGAACCGTGAACAGAGAGGAAAGTATGGGCACTGGGGTGTCCAAAGAGTCCCCAACCCATCGGCTCACCCACAACCTGTTTTAGTCACTTCTCCAGGCATCTTTGGGGATTTGTTTCATAGCAGTTCCTCGCCCCCTCCAACCACCGTCGGCCTGTGTGTGTGCAGTACCCTGGTCTGGAAGGGCGGCCCCGAGTGGCGAGCCATTGAGTCTAGGCTGGAGCCGGTACCCTTCGCTCGGACGACTTCGGCAAGGTCACCCCTTTTCCTGAGCATCGGTCTCCCATCTATACGAAGAGGCTGAGCGCCGCCTCTCTTGCAGGACTATAGGAAGGGATTAGATACAGGAGCCCCAGGCACATAGCTGGTCCTCTTCCCTCCTCTATCTTCATCCCTTCCCATTTCCCTGTCCATGTCCAAGGCGTCTCCCTTCAAACCACCTCCTCCTGCTAAAAAGCCAAATGCCGTCCAGTCAATTCTGACGCACAGTAACCCTCTAGGACAGGGTAGAACTGCTCCCTGGGGTCTGGGAGGCTGTGAACCGTTATGAGCGGGGAAACCTCATCTTTCTTGCATGGAGTTGGTGGTGGTGCTGAGCAATGGACCGAGGATGGCACAGGAGCAGCCGGTGTTGATTCTGCTGTATATTTCTTTTTGTTTATTCCAATGTAAAGTTCACACACACACACACACACACACACACACACACACACACATAACCCATCTTGCAGTGAGCAGCCCACTACTCTACCAGGACTCTGAGTGTCTCATGCGCCCTCAAATCCCCCGCCTCCTCTCCTGGCCCGCTCTGGCCTGAGTCTGCCTCCCTCACAGGCTGCGAACTGGGTCACTGCAGGAGAGGGTGCAGCCCCAGGCTGAGAAAGCCCCAGGGACCACTGCTCTGGGCCCTGCTGCTCTGGACACACCCCTGGGATGATCAACGGCTAATGGACACAGAGGATTGCAACACTGCCCAGGAGTAGCCCGCTTCGTCACTGGGTAGGGGACTGAGCCTTAACTTCCTCTCTCCCAGCTGCCTGGGACCTGGCTGTGGTTGGGGGAGGCCTCTGCAAGCCTACCCCAGCCCAGCCCACCCTGGGCCAGTAGCCAGGATCTTGGCCTGAACCCTGGACAAGGCACCAGGAGACCCACGCACTAGCTCCAGCTTGGCCCACGCATCGTTGGAAGTCAATTCCATCTAGGGCCTCACTTGGCCCATTTATGCAGAGGGCAGTTTGAAAAAGGTGGCTTTCATATCCTTCCAGCTCACAGGCCTGGGGGGCGGGCAGTTATCTGAGACGCACCAGGGAATACTGCGGCTTAAAATCAGGAGAGGCGTGTGTCAGGGTTGTATGTTTTCGCCAACCGTATCCAGCCAGTCTGCTGAGCACAAAATCCAGAGAGCCAGAGTATATGGAGAACATGGCACTGGGATTGGAGGCAGACTCACAAAACCCCAGAGCGATCCGGGTCACCCAGTTTGGCTTGTGGAAAGCCAAGAAGACTTGAAGCACTTACAGAGGAAGGTCAAAGGTCATAGGTCAAAGACGACAGCCCTCCGTATGGATGACAGCGCAACGTGAAGAAAACCAACGCCCTCCCAACGGACCGCATCACGGTAGATGGAGAGAGGACTGAAGTTGTCAAGGAGCTCGTTTTACTAGACCCACAACCAACCCCCATGGAAGCAGCCACGAGAAGTCAAAGGGGAGAGCACATCAGGCGCGCCTGCTGCGGAAGACCTCCCTGTTGAAAAGCCAAGCTGTGACCAGGAGGACGGACGGGCACCTGACCAAGCACAGTCTTTCTAGTCCCCTCCCAGGCCCGCAGAAGATGGACAGGAGGGAAGGCAGGCTGGAGCCCAACTGATGCCTTTGAGTCGCAGTGTTGGTGAGGAACACTGACAGGCCCCTGGCCTCCTAGAAGAGCAAACATCTGTCTCCACCGCTCCTTGGAGGCAAGGCCAGGAAGACCTGGGGCCGCTCAGATCCTCTGGCCACGTGGTCAGGAGGGATCCATCCCTGGGAAACGACATCACGCTCGGAAAACAGGAAGACCCCTGGATGGACACAGGGGCTGCAGCACTGAGCGCACACAAAGCAGCGATGATGTGGATGGGCAGGACCCAGGAGTGTTTCCAGCGCCAGCTCGGTGACACCTGCCGACATCCACGGAGCTCTCTGGTCCTACTCTGCTCCACCCGGACCCGGCTGCCACAGGCTGACAGTTTATTTGCTGGTTTCTGGTTTCCATCTCTTGGCTTCTTGGACCCAAAGCAAGCCAGAGCTTCGAGGTGATTGCTGGGGCACCTTCTGTCGTGGGCTTGCTGGTCAGTGTCCCCACGGTCTGACTCAGTGCTCCTGAAACCACTTTCTGGTCTCAGCCACCCCCCACCCCCCAATATTCCCAGGAGGGAAGAGGCCTGCACCTTGGCGTGGGGGTGGGGTGGCTACCTTTTTCATGGCCTACAGTGAACCTCCCAGGGAAGTCTTTCAACTCAAGTTGAACCCCGAGCACCAGCCACTGTCAGGGTCATTTCCCTCACGCTGGGCACTGGAGAGACCTGCTCTGGTAGGCCTCCTCTAACCTTGCAGCACCCCAATGGGGCAGGGTCACTGTAGCCGTCCTCTGAGAAAAGAGGAAGTGGGACACAGAGGCTAAGTGACCAAGGCCACAGGGCTGGGGAGTGACCCCAATGGGGCAGGGTCACTGTAGCCGTCCTCTGAGAAAAGAGGAAGTGAGACACAGAGGCTAAGTGACCCCAGGTCACAGGGCTGGGGAGTGGCAGAGTGTCTGTCTTGGGGCAGAAAGATGCTGAGATAATTGGGCTTCCACTTCCTCTGGGGTATTTACAAAACCCCCCTTCGGCTAGAGATCTCTGGAACCTTCCTCCTGGTAAGCCAAAGATGCAGATCGTAGGTCCAAGGTGGACCAAGTGTGTGCGGTGTGGCCTCCGGACTCACCGGGACTTGGGTGTACATGACGGCCTCCAGGATCTCAGCGACTCCGTCCGTCTCCGGAAGCCCGCTCATCTCTCCAGAGGCCTGTGCGGGACACATCACCCCACGTCAGGCAGAGAAGCGGCACCTTACAGAAGAGCCTGACCAGGGGGAAGCAGCAGAGAGGTGGAAGGACCCAGCGTGTGTGTGTGTGTGTGTGTGTGTGTGTGTGTGTGTGTGTGTGACAGTAAATGTGTGCATAGAGGGTGAGTGAGTGTGTGTGAGAGACAGCGCGAGTGTGCGTGTGCTGTGCATATACCCGCACAGCGTGGCTATTGTTTCTCTTTCTGCACTTCACTGCCCAGACACACAAAAAACGATCGCGTTTCAGTGTTTCCAACCCATCTGCTTTCACTTGCCCACGTCCCCTCCCTTCTCTGACAAAAGGCACTCCCAATCTCCGATGGGTCTGCCATTGGAATTCTACATTGGGAACCACCCACCCTGAGCATCCCTTCACGTGGCTGCCTGGCCTTCATCACTCCACCCCCGCCAATCCCCGAACCCCCCAACCCCCCAAGGCCATGGAGTCAATCCCAACGCAGCCACCCCAGGCAGTATGAAGCCGACATCTTTCGGGAGTGGAGCTGCTGGGAGGTTCGAGCCACCAACATTGAGACCCACTTGACCAGACAGCGCCACCGGGCACCTTAATCTTCATAATTAGCCTTCGACAAGGGCTTCCAATGAGGCCGAGGGCCATCACTGGGCAACCAATGCCTCATTGCTGGACGCGGGTGGCTTCTGCGTTTTCATCCCCAAGGGCGACGCAGAGGGGACTGACCGAGCACACCCAAGGCTTCCTGCTTGCCCGGATCGCCGGCTCTGGGAGCACGAGCATCCTGAGAGCCGGGTTCCACGGCTGGGGCTCTTCCCCACGGACGCGGCAGCTGTGGCTGCTAGTGAATGAAGCCAGTGTACATTCTAGTCCGGGTGGACACAGCTGCTCCAGAGATACAGCCCCTCTGCTCGGCCTCTGACGTTTGTGCATCCCGCTGCCCCTTCTGCCCGGGAGCCCTGTGGCCTCTTCCTCTGGTGACCTCCCACTCGCCACTGGCCGGGAGTCAGCTCCTCCTTGACCTCCGTCTAGGCCTTCCTCTTTCCCCTTGCTGCCCTTCTCCTCCAGTTGGGGCTCCCTCGCTCTGCTTGGGGGTGGAGATGTGTGGGCAGCTTGAGGCCCGGACACCACCCAGGTGATCTCTGTGTCTCCAGCTCCCCCTGAGGCCATCACTTGGCAGGGGCTTAGTAAATCTTGGAAGGAGGGAGGGAGAGAGGGAGCAAGAGAGGGAGAGAGGAGGGTAGAGGGAAGAGAAGTGGAGGGACGAGAAGGGAGGAGGAGGGAGAGGGGAGGGACGAGAAGGGGAGGGGAGGGAGAACTGAGCCATTTTCTTTTGCCCACCATCCCATCCACAACTTAGGAACTAGTCTACTTGCCAAGCACACCCGCTAAATTTAGGTGCGCTTTTATAAGAATTCACACCCGGAATGCCTTAGACTTCAGCATCCTGACACCCTTGTCTGGCAGGAAGGCTGGAAACCAGGCCACTGCCTGCCACAGCCATGGAAGAACGTGACAGGGTGTAGAGCGAGCAGAAAGCCCAGCACCCAAGATGTGGCTGGAGCTCGTTAAGAAGTCAAACAGCCCCCAAAGCCCAGAATAGGACTTGAGGCCGTGGTCACCAAGACGAGAGATTTCAGGGATGCTGTGGACACCGGAGATGAGGAGCTGCCCAGGCACCAGGCCCGCCCTTGGTGGGGCCACTGCTGGGTGCAAGCCCACTGTGGGAGATGGGGTGGGGGGACTCACCGAGGACTCTTCAGCCTCACACAGCTCCTCGGGGGTCCTGGGGTCAGGGTGGATGATGAGCTGCTGCAGGGAGCCCTGGGAAAGAGCAGAGGGGTCAGAACCACAGCTGACACATCCGCACCCCACAATCACGCTGGTATTTGTGGCAGGGCCAAGTGCGTGAAGGAACCTGTGTGAGGTCTGCTGCCTGCGGCCGGGATGCGGTGGCCCAGCCACCTCGCGCCCCACCACCCTGCTGGTATTACGTCTCCAGGAAAAACCACATGGACATCACCAGCAGGGCCCTTGGAGTGGACTGTGATCAAAGTCTGGACTAAACAGGGACCCCCAAAGCCACGCCAGTTACCGCAGGGTCGATTCCAATTCAGGGGGACCCCGTGTGTTCAGGAAGGAGCTGTGCTCCCCAAAGTTTTTCAATGGTTTTCCCCACACCACCACCACTAGGCCTTTCTTCCACTGTGCCTGTGGGGAGGCTTGCCTGTCTGTACCACCCAGAGACCCCTCTTAAAATATGCCCAGTGCTTTGACATCGGAGAGCTCCTTTAACCCGGACGCCAGTGGACGCTCCCCACTTCCCAGAGGAAGGCTGCCCCATCGATAACGATGCGGTCAGTAAGTCCTACGAGTAGGGGCAAGGGGGCGGGTGTCCCTAGCTTTTAAGGTCCCAGCCTAGCGTGCATCTTGCCATCCCATGCGAGCCTCTTTGAGGACATCAGAACCCATCCCAATAACTTAACTATGACCCCCGGTCACCGCATGCATTCTGACTCAGTGACCCTGCAGGGCAGAGTCCAGCTGTCCCGTGGTTTCCACGGCTGCGCTCTTTCTGGAAGCAGATGGACGCATCTTCCTCTCGTGGAACGCTTCTGGGTCTGAGGCAGGTTAGCGCCTACCTCCTAGCCATGGTAGAACCCCAAACCACAAATGCTCCCTGCCATCAAGCAGATTTTGGCCCACAGTGACCCTCCAGGACAGAGCAGAACTGCCCCTGGGGGTTTCCAAGGCCATTCATGTTTATGGGAGTAGAAAGCCTCATCTTTCTCCCACCAAGCAGCTGGTGGTTTCAAACTCCTGGCCTCGGCCAGAAACAGCTCAAGGCATAACCCACTATGCCACTAGGGGCCCAGGGCTGTTGGCTTGTCTTTCCTGCTTGGGAAATGTGTACCCAGGAGCCCCCTGGTTGTGGGGAGTGGGATTGGACACTCACGACGAATCTCTCCAGGCCCGTGGCCCCTGCATTGCCCACGAAGATGCCCGCGCTGGGTTCGATCTTCAGGGCCCGGGCGGACCGGCGGAAGGAGACGTGGCTGTGCTCCTCACAGTTCACCACCAGGGCCACCTCCTCACCCTGCACAACCACAGCGAAGCGGTTCCACCGGTGGGCCATGACCGGCACCGGGAAGACGGCGGCCTCGTGGGACACGAGAGAGCCGGGCTCCGTGTAGTAGAGGATGACCCGCTGCCAGCCGTCCTCCACGGCCGAGAGCCGCAGGCCCAGGTAGATGACCTTCTGCAGGGCGTCGGTGATGGCAAAGAGCACGCCCCCACGGACACTGGTGGGCTTCACTGTGACGCTGACGGCAAAGTCCCTGAAGAAGGTGGGTGGGATGAGCGTGCGTGCAGGGCGGCCGATGTTGGTGCCGGGCCCGAAGCTGTAGGCAGGGAAGCCGCCAAAGCCAGTGACAAAGGACACGGAGGCGGGCAGCGGGACCCCGATGAGCTCCGTGAGGTCCAGGTGGCCGTGGGACGCCGGGTCTGCAGGGAGAGGAGAGGGGCCACACGTGACACCGTGATCTGCAGGGAGTGGAAGGGCGCACCGAGGAGAGACCGTCCTTCCTGGATCTGTAAAAGTTCTCTTGCTGTAGTATTTACACAGCATACACTTCCACAGTGAAATGGCTTCAAAAAGGCATTGTAACTACATCATCACAAGCAGTGCTAGCGCTCCCCCCTCCTGCACTCACGGTTTGCTCCCCAGATGCCCTCCCCGCCCTCCGGCCCCCTGCACATCCCGATGAATGCTAGCGTCAGTTATTGTCTCCGTGCATCCGCTCCTCGTGCTTCACAGACCGGGAACCTCACAGAGACCACAAGAAACAGAAACGAAATGGCAAGAAGAGAACAATGCAATAACATAAAGTTTAAAAAATACAAATGAGCCGTAAGAAAGAAAAGACCGCCATCAACATCTGAAAGGCCAGAGAAGAACCTCCTGCCACGGAACAGGCGAGAGCTACTTGGACCAGAGCAAATTCCCGTCGTCGGGACATGACGGAGGTCAACTGCTGCGAACCACACTAGTCGCCCTGGTCCGAGCACCACAGTCAAGTTGACAGTCATCTCTGACTGAGAGCAAAGCTGGCACCTTCTAAGTGAGCGGGTGTGGACATTTGCATCGTAACACACCATGCGTGTATGAGGGGCTTTCAGAAAGTTCGTGGAGCCATGGAATGAAGCCGTGGAACAAAGGGCTACTCGGCCATCCCCACGGCGGGCGGGAGGGCGTGGACTGCACAGGTGGGGTCCCTGGGGCTTTCACTGGCTGGCTTTTGGACATAGCCCCCAGGTTTATTTCCAGCATCACAGCCACAGGGAGGCGTCAGTGGCCGACAGGTGGTGGGTGGCTGGCTGAGTGCATGGTTAGGCGCCTGGGCCAGGAATCCGCAGGGACCCACCAGCACTCACCGGAATATGTAAACAGAGGCGCGCACACCTGCAACACAGAAACAGCTGTCCCCCTTACGATGCCTGTGGTAGCCAGATGATTTTATGTCCAGTGGGATTTGTAGGAAAGTGCAGGAGTGGGGTCCAACCTGTCAATCAGGTCACAGCTTGGCGACCCCTCCTTGGGGGTGTGGCCTTCTTGTAAGGAGAAACTGGGAAGTTGCCTCTCTCTCTGTCCCTTCACCTTCCTGCTTGCTGTGTTGTCTCCGGGAGCAGCCTGCGTGGGTCACCCACCCTGAGAGCACCCTGCACTGCCATTCCACTGACCTTGGATCTAGGTGACTCTGCACCCACTGGCCGGTGATCTTTCCCCACCCCGCTGCACGTCTCGGTGTCACCAGCCTGCGGTGCACTGACTGCATGCCGGAGAGGGTCCCGGCCAGCATCGGACCCACGGACTTGAGCAGGACCGGGCTGGGCTGCCGTCTTGGTGTGGCATCCCTTCTTGATGTACAGTTCTTTCTAGCGCATGGATGGGTGCCGCCGGTTTGGTTTCCCTGGGCAACTCAGCCCAACACAGTGAGTGCTCAGTTGTCGATGTCAGACACCGACACCGTTTCTTTCCTCTTTAGTGATGACTTTTGCTTCTATTTCATTCAGGACCATGCGGCTCAGGGACATCATAGCCAGGCTCTGGTAGAACGCCAGGGGCATGGGGGACAGAACTCAACTTCAAAACAGCCCAGACTCCCTGGCCCAGGGGAGACTAGGGGACCAACACCCTGGGGCAGTGGCCCCGGGCACTTGTTGGACCTTGAGCCCACACCCACCCACCCGAGGCTGCAACCCAATATAGGGTGTCACCCATGATGCGGCCCAAAGGTCAGCATTGATTCTAGAGCCAAGATGAGGAGGTGTGTGTGTGTGTGTGTGAACAGCACCAGAATGGAGCAACCAGAAGGGACTTAGGAGAACGCTGATGTGCCGTCCCGGCATCCCTGAACATCGCGCGTAGAAACGCTCACTTGGGAACCTACTTTGCAGCGCAAACTCTCACAGTAAAGACGATTTAAAAATGTACACACCTGTATTTAAACATAGCAATTCTTCCTACCATAAATAAAATAACGACTACGCGGGGGCAGAGAGAGCGTGCTGTCAATAAACCAAAAGAGTGGACCGTACGGGGAAGAGTGGACTGGCTCCATCCACAGGGTCTCGTGGACACTGGTCTCGTGGGAGATGAGTGTGCCACAGAGGAGTGGCCGGCTCAACGGCTGACCGTATGATGGCTGCTAGCTGAGCGCCTTCACGGCTGGGGCACCGGGGGGCTTTCCAGGACAAGCTAGGGCAGTGGTCCTCCACCTTCCTAAGGCCACGGCCCTTGCACAGTTCCTCATGCTGTGGTGACCCCCAACCACAAAATTATTTTTGTTGCTACTTCATCACTGTCATTTTACTACTGCTACGAATCGGGCGACCCCTGTGAAAGGGTCGTTCGACCCCCAAAGGGGGTCGTGACCCACAGATTGAGGACCACTGCTCATGGGTCATGATCTGCACTTTGGGAAATGTCAAAAGCCACGCAGTGCGTTAAACACAGGGCCACGAACAGAAAGTCCCATGGTTTGCTCCCCAGGGGAAAGAGGAGGCTGTCTGCTCCCATAAAGAGGACACGCTCCGAGACCCCAGGGAGCAGTCCGCCTCTGTCCTGTAGGGCCACTCTGTAGAGCAACCGACAGCGGCGCGGTTGGTTTGGGATGGCTGGTATCCTAGAATAGACCCACCACCCATCTTTCTGTCAGCGGGCTCCCTGGTGGCACAGGGGGTTTGACACTGAAGTGCTAACCACAAGATCAGCAGTTTGAGGCCACCAGCCGTCCCACGAGACAAAGATGAGGCTTTCTGTTCCTAGAAGGGCTGCAGCCTCAGAAACGCCCCCGGGACAGTTCTACTCTGTCCGGAAGTGGACGTGAGTTGGAATAGCTGTGGGTGCGTATTTAGTTGTTGTCTACAGAACAGGGTGGGTCGGTGTATTGCAATCTGTTTCATTCTGTTCTGAGCGTGGTCCGCTGCCTGCGTGCCTCGGGGGGAGGGGGACCAGGCGGGGGGGCAGATGCAGTCTCAAGGCCTTGGAGGACTGGACGGACAGGGTCACCCCTGAGACAGTCACCGTCCTGTCGTCATCCTCAATCAGTATTCCCCAAGCGATCCCTCTGCACCTGGCGCCCCACTGAGCTGGCCCCAGACATTCGCTCATTCGTTCCTCACAGCCGCCCCGTGAGGTTACCCCAGAAAACAAACTCACCACCATCGAGTCGATTCCGACTCACGGCCACCCGACTCACAGGCTCAGCACTGCGACCCCCACTTGACTTCAGAGCAAACCGAGCCCTACCGAAGCGAGGCTGTTTGTACAAGCGAAGACTGATCCAGGGTGCAATCCCAGGCATGTGACCCAGCCCTGGGCTCTTAACCACTCACACATGGGTGGGTGGGGAATGAGAGGCCTCCTCATCGGTTGTGTTGTGGGGTGTCCTGGAGTCGACGCTGACTCAGGGTGACCCCGTGTGACAGCGCGGAGCTTTCCCATGGGTTTTCTAGGCTGTCATTGTTGTAAGAGCAGATCTGGGTGGGCTTGGGCTCAACCATTCGGCCACCAGGGCTCCCTTGATGGCCGGGGGAGCACTCGGGCTCAGAGCCTTGGTCCCTTCCACCATGGTCCCTGGGAGAAGACAGCAGACTGATGTGAAGGGGCACCTATCCCCCCACTCATTCACTGACACATTACTTACAGTGGTCTAGGTGGCAGAAGGCCCCAGGGGGAAGTGGCCAGGGTCACTGCAGCCAGGACTATGGACAAGCAAGGCTTTGGGGCCGTGTAAGTGGTGCTCAGGACCCAGCAGACAGGTGGCCTGGGCTGAGTGGGGCTCAAAGTCCAGCAGTGTCCTCCCCAGGAGCAGGACCAGGGGCGGGAGCAGACTCCCCTGGCAACTGCCTGGGCTACAGCTGAAGCCATGGACCCTGGGGAAGCCCAGGGACCACACGGAAGCCCTTGACAGGCTGATCTCCAGAGAAGACCCAGGCTGCTCTACAACACCTCCAAACAAAGTCCCGCCGGATGATGAGACCTGATTTCTCTTGCACCCGTCTCCTTAGACACAGGTGTCAGCTGTGTGGCCTGCGCCCCGTGGATGGGGTAAGAGTACTACGGGGCCAGGGGAGTGATTCAGCAGACCGTCTATGAGAACGCTGGCAAACAGTGCCAGCAATGCGGCAAACACATTTTTTGCTGTGTTGTTTTTCTGGAATCATTCAACAGTGATTCTGACCTCTCCGGTGCTGACGAGGAAATGAGTCCATTTGGGTGCCTGGGTGCTCTGTCCCTGGGCCCCAGCAAAGATGTTACTCAGTCCCCACTGCAGCCCTGAGCATGACCTGCTCCTGTCCCAAGAGCCGAGGCTTAGGAAAATGAAATGACTGGCCGTGGTTACAGGGCTAGGGAGGGGCAGGATGACCCTGGCCAGGTCACTGCCGCAGCCTCCTTAAGATGGGCCCTCTCGCCCCAGGGTTCTGGGTGGGGCTCGACCCAGTTTCTAGACCAATGACCCTCTGTGATGAGGGCCAGGGAGTGTGACTGGAAAGGCTCCCAGGGAGCGCTCCAGATGAATTGATGGACTGTTTCTGAACGGGGGTGTGTGTGTGTGTGTGTGTGTGTGTGTGTGTGTGTGTGTGACTCTTCATACCTCCCAGCATGCTCTGAGAAGCTCACTGTGAATGTTCCCACACACATGCCCACTAACATGCACTCTTAACATTAACAGAGATGCATACCCACACCCACACATGCACACATCCGCGCACACCCTCATGCACAGTGCATGTATAACATGACATGCCTGCACTCATACACCCACTGACACGCATGCACACAAGTACACACATGCGTGTGCATATACATACACAAGCACATACAAACACCTCCAACCATGTACTCACACATGCATGCTAGTGGCCAACTGTGGACGATCTTCCTGTGGGTGCTGCAGGATGGGGGTCAGGAGTTGGGGTCTCTCTCCCACTCCTCTGTG